TAAATAAGGGTAGCTAGACATGAACAGCCTGGTGACTACTCACAGAACAGGCACCTAAACTGGGCCCAAGCTATAACCATTTGACCAGTATCTCTAGGAATATCCAACATTTAGCCTGTTTTATGTAGCATTTTGCTAAGCAATAGAAATTAAGAGATGCTCCTTGGGAAGAAAAGCTATGACAAGCCTAGACAGCATATTAAAAAGCAGACTTGACTTTACAGGTCCATATAGTCAAAGCTATGGTTTTTCCAGTAGTCACATATGGATGTGAGAGTTGGACCATAAAGAAAGCTGAGTGCCAAGGAATTGATGCTTTTGAACTATGGTGTTGGAGAAGACTCGAGTCCCTTGGACAGCAAGATCAAACCAGTCAATCCTCAAGGAAATCAGTCCTGAATATTCATTGGAAGGACTGATATTGAAGCTCCAATATTTTGGCCACCTGATGGGAAGAGCTGACACCCTGGAAAAGACCCTGATGCTGGGAAAGATTGAGGGCAGGAGAAGGGGACGACAGAGGATGAAAGGGTTGGATGGCATCACGGACTTGATAGACACGGGTCTGAGCAAGCTCTGGGAGTTGGTGAACAGGGAAGCCTGGTGTGCTGCAGTCCGTGGGGTTGCAGAGTCAGACACCACTGAGCAACACACTGAACTGGACTGGAGCAATCATGCGAAGCTCATGGGGATAGCTTTCAGGCCTTTAGTTTCTCTACCTTCCTCACGTTACCTCAGCACTGCTTTAAGGCAAGAGCTCCTCCACCGTGCACCAGAGATGAACTCTTGAGGCTGGAGAAGCACTCTCAGTTCATATGACTCAGGGGTCACTCCCAAGCTCATGCATCCTGGGCTTCAGCTCCATTCCTATATCCCCCCTCTCCCAGAGTACAAACGACACAAGACACAGGCTAGCTTTCTATTCACAGAACAGTTTACTGACCTACCTCACCTGGCCGACCACACGGCCCTTGGGCCAGGGGAAGTATCAGTCTAGCTGTCATTTGGCTGGGCCACAGCCTCTGCCCTGCAAAGAGGGCCACAGAGGCAGGAGAGAACGCTGGCCAGTGCGGCCCTGAGCACAAGAGAGCCCCAGCAGAGGTTCAGACTCAACTCCACTTGATGTTCTTGTCCTCCTCGGTCATGGCTGGCGTGTCAGTGACGAGGCCGGTTCCGATGGTCCGGTTGCCATCCCGCAGGGTGAAACGCTGGCCTTTCTCTAAGATCATTGGCTGCCGCAAGATGAGAGTGAGCTTCAGGTCCTCCCCAGGCATGGCAAGCTCCTAAAAGGTAGAGACAAAGATCATGCATGATTCAGGGCACCTTCACTTCCTAACTGTTGGTTACCAAGGTTAAAGGTTATGGGAAAATGCAGCAGGGTGATTCTTTCTGGGGAAACTTCTGTCCCAGTTGTTAGGCACATGCAAACAGCATGTGCAAAGGCAGAAAAGGACTGATTGGACTTCCTTGGGGTTCCAGTGGTTAGGAATCCACCTGTCAATGTAGGGGACATGGATTTGATCCCTAATCTGGGAAACAAGATCCCACAAGCTACGGGGCAACTAAGCCCCTGTGCCACAACTACTAAAGCCCACGTGCCCTAGAGCCTGTGCTCTGCAACAGGAGGCGCCACCGAAATGAGGAGCCCCCTCTCTCCCAACAAGAAAGCCTGTGCAGTGCAACGAAGACCAGGGCAGCCAATAAACAAGTAAACTATAAAGATAAAAATAAAAAAGGACTAGTGATTAGTGTCTCTAAAGTTTTTCATGAGAAAAAAATGTTTATAAAATTTTGGGTTACGCAGGTCTTGGGCTCAAGACTTCTTTTGAGCCTTTATGTAAAATACAGTGGAACTCTCTACTATAGGAACTCTGCTGGGGAATCTTTGTGAGTCAGTGCTAACACAGCTAAGAAACCCTGGATGAGGATTCGTTCTGCCTGAATCCAGTGATCCAACCCTTCCATCACCAGCTCTCCCCCTACATCATCAGCCAGGCTTTCTTTACCAGGGAAAGGTCACCCCCGCTGTCACATACATCATACCTTCCCTGGAGGCAAGATGATCCGACAAGCCATGTCCCAAGTCAGGGAGAACATGACAGGCATGAAGTGGGATACAAAAGGTTTGTGGCGGCCACCCTCTTCCTTGCTGAGGATGTAGACCTGTGAGAGGGTACGAGAACATGGGTGGAGTTGGGCCTGGCTGGAAGCACCGACCCTCCACAGCGCCTGCCCATCAACACCTGGAGCCCTCACCTGTGCCTCCACCTTCTGGTGAGGCTGGATGGAACCTGGCTTGGCCATGACCAGGCCACGTCTCAGGTCCTCCCGCTTCAAGCCTCGGACCAGGGCCCCAAGGTTGTCACCCGCCTCTGCCCTATCCAGGCTCTTGTGGAACATCTCAATGCCTGAGAGAGGGGAGACACGCGGGAGAAGGGTGTGGGCAGAGGGAAGGAATGGGGGGTCTGCGGGGGGGAGATGCCATCCTGGAGCTCTGGGTCCCAAGGCCGCCTCCTGTACCTGTCACCACAGTGCGAATATTCTTGCTGTGTCCCAGGAACTCACACTCGTCTCCCTTCTTCAAAATGCCACGTTCGAGCGTGCCTGTCACCACTGTGCCCCGGCCTAGGAGGGAACAGGGCAGGACATCAGGGATGCTGGATGAAGCGGCAGTGACGGGACGGGAGTGCGTGTGAGCCGGGTCCTCACCAGGGATCGAGTATACCGACTCCACGGGCAGCAGGAAAGGCTTCTCCAGGTCCCGGGTGGGTACCGGGATGTATGTGTCCACAGCATCCAGCAGCTTCTGCACGGACTTCAGGCCTAGCTCGGGGTCACGTTGCTATGAGTGGGAGGTGACAGGACTCTGAAACTTCCATTCTGCTCCTCTTACTTGCCCAGAGCCAGGCCCCGGACTCAGAGCAAAGCTCTGGGTGTCCATCCAGCCCCATCCCCAGCCTGACCCCGCCTTTACCTCAAGGGCACAGAGGGCAGAGCCAACGATGATCGGAGTCTCCTCCCCTTTGTAGCCAAACTCAGTCAGCAGTTCCCTGATCTCCAGCTCCACCAGCTCCACCATCTCAGAGTCCTGCACGGCGTCCGCCTTGTTCACATACACCACCACATGCTCAACGCCAATCTGCAGGTGAGAAGGAGACACAGATGGCGTCCTGAATGGCCCAACACCCTCCGCCCCCTTCCACCCTTTCCCAGGCTCTTGAGTACCTGTCTGGCTAGCAGTAAGTGTTCTCGGGTCTGGGGCATGGGGCCATCATTGGCTGCCACCACCAGGATGCAGCCGTCGAGGGGGGCAGTGCCTGTGATCATATTCTGGGGAGAGAGAGAAAAGGAAGTAGTGTAATTCCATGACCTCCTCTGCTCCCCAGCCACCTAGCTAAGCACAGACACTTCTTTACCACCTGCTGTGACTGGCCAGGCCCACAAAGCCAGGATCTCCAACCCGTACACCTCAAACATCTTAACCTCCTCCCCACAATCCTAACGTTTTTCCTGAGGAGGGGCAGTTCCCAAGCCCCGTCCCCAGCGGCTCTCACCTTAACGTAATCTGCATGACCGGGGCAGTCAGTGTGGGCATAGTGGCGGGCGGCTGTGCTATACTCCACATGAGCCGCGTTGATTGTGATACCTCGGGCTCGCTCCTCTGGGGCATTGTCAATCTCTTCGTACTTCTTAAACTTGGCCCCACCTCCCTCCGCTAAAACTAAGGGAAGGAAGGGAACACACTTTTCAGCAAGGCCCTTTCTACTTTAGAAAAAGACAGTCTAGGAGAATCAACCTTCCAAGACACCCTCCTTCAACTCCTGGGGCTAGTAACTTCAGGTCAGAAAAAAAGGTTATAGAGCCTCAAGGGCTAACCCTGTGACTTCTCTAGGCTAACAGTTCTGCTTACAGGGCATCTTCCTGGGGCTGGAGGGAGGCCATTGGGGGGACGGGGGGGATCCCCCAACTTATGCATCAAAAACTTCGTGTTCACAGGAAATCTGTCTTCTGCATCCTGCAGTGTACTGTCCGCCCAATTTCTGGCGCCTTGTGCCCTGCCAAGTCGCTTCAGTCGTGTCCGACTCTGTGCAACCCTAAGGACTGTAGCCTGCTAAAACTAAGGGAAGGAAGGGAACACACTTTTCAGCAAGGCCCTTTCCACTTTAGAAAAGGACAATCTATGGACAGGCTCCTCTGTCCGTGGGATTCTCCAGGCAAGAATACTGGAGTAGACTGCCATTCCCTTCTCCAGGGGATCTCCCCGACCCCAGGGATCGAACCGGCGTCTCTTACGCCTAACCTGCATTGGCAAGCGAGTTCTTTACCACTAGCGCCACCTGGGAAGCCACCTTAGGGGCCGCACTAAACACCTAAGCAGTTGCTCCGCGGGCCCCGCCTCCCTGGCTTCAAGTCCCACCAGCAGAGCAGGCGCTGTTGGAAGCCCCCCCCCACCCCAACCCCACTTACTTTTCGTGATGGCCGCGGTCAGCGTGGTCTTGCCATGGTCTACATGGCCGATGGTGCCCACGTTCACATGGGGCTTGTCACGCACATAGGTCTTCTTGGCCTCCACAGCCAGGCCGCGGCACAAGATGGGCAGCGCCGGGGCCTTCAGCGGCCGCAAAAGACCTTGCAATAGTGGTGCCGGGCCGGCGCCGAGACCTGCCGGGGCAGATGCCTGGAGTCACGGCGCGGGTCTGAGCCCGGCCGCTCCCGACGACCCCCACGTGAACCCGGGCTGCCATGGCCCTCCCCGCCCCCTCACCGCTGAAAAGGGGCGTCGCGCGCAGCAGGGTAGCGGCCGCCATTGTGGTCGTACTGGCGCCCGTAGAGCGCACCGGGCACGGGCGCCGGCGCGTGCAGCAGCGAAAGGGCAGTTGCGGATGGAAGTCGCTTCCGGCGGAAGTTAGGGCAGAGAGGGCAAGTCTGGGCGCCTCTAGCCTCCAATCTCTATGGCCCTGTCAACTTCCGGGCGCAGGACGGAACACGTCCGGGAAAGTGCTGAGGGTGGTAAGGGTGGGGAAGCTTTCCAAGGCGCACTCCTATCTCGCTGGCTCAGGAGCCACAAAGTTCTCTCTGGTGGCGCCGGGGGGCGATGTGGAGCATCTCATAGCGCGCCTACGCCCCCGAGGCTCATGGGCGTTGTAGTTCCCAGGGCTGCGAGCTGTGCTGGCACGTATCGTGGGAAGGCGAGGCCAGGTCCGGAGGGACGGTCCAGGCCTTCTTGAAGCAGAGGCAGCGGCCCCGGCGTGGATGACTCCGGAACGTCTTGGCCCCGAACCATCTGGAGTCCAGTCCGACCCGCCGGGCGGGTCTGGCGACAGATCTGGCGGCCTTATGTCGCAGCTGGAGGTAGGACCAGCCGTTGCGGCCAGGCTGAGGAAGACTCTCCCGGGAACCTGTTGGGGGTGGGTCTCTAAGTGTGACCCATCTCTCTTCTGAGCCTTTGTTTTCTTGTCTGTAAAGTGGGAGTAGTATCTACTTCACAGGAAGACCCTGACATCTGGCTCTGAGAGGAAATGAGCTGGGCAAGAGACAGAAAAGGGGTCCAAAAGCCTTCCGGGTCCCACAGTCTTTGGGACCCTCCCCTGGCTCAAATGCCCTCCCCGCTGGCTCACAGCCTGCGGGGACAGAGTTTCCCGTCCACCCCTGTAGCCCCTCAGCAGGCCAGAGAGTAATTCTCTCAATCGTCGTTCTCGCCACCTAGTTTTACAGATGACCAGGTGAGGGACCAACTTCTTGTGCCTTTAAGGGCAGCCTGAGGCTTTCTTGTTCCCGCTGTGTCCCTGGCACCTGCCACAGGGCGGGGCACTCAGTGAGTGCTCAATAAATGTCTGTTGACTGAATGAATGAGTGCAAGGATAGTAAATGACCTTTAACTTTCACATCCATCATCTCATCACCCTGGGATGATAATAGCAGCTGCTTAACCTTGATTAATGTTTCCGAAACTCATCAGCTCCTAAGACTCAGTTGATGGTGTCTGTTTCAAATAGATTCCTTAATTCCTCCCTTGGAGATTATGATTCAGTAGTGTCTGGGTACAGACAAGGAAACCATATTTATTTTTAACAAAGTTCTTAAATTCAGAGGAGTTTGGGGAACTCAGAGCTTTTTATAGTTCAGGCGTTGTGCTTCATATTGCTTCACATTCAATATTGTCACATTCAGTGTTATTCTGTGTGATAGGACCCCATTTTATTAGTGAGAAAATTGAGCATCAAGGTAAACAAGGAACCCAACACAGCTAACTTCCAAAAAAAGTGTGCACTTAGCCACTTCACCATACTGTAATTTAACTATCATTTTATAATGAGAAACTTGCTAAGACTTCTGTCTTCTTGGCCCTCTAAACCCATCAGCTTTGATGAGGAAGGGCTTGTACAATATGAAAGAGTTCTCCTTGTCCCCAACCTGAACCTTAGTCATTCCACTTCTAGAAATTTATGCTAAGACACTATCAGCCACCACCAGGATATGAAATATTGGGGGCTGGAACTTAAATTAATGCTTTCTTTTTTAGTGGTGCTATATTTATTTTAATGTGTATCAGTTTGGAAGAAAGGTTGGCATTGTAAATGTGTTTTAAAAAATGAGTCAATTTAAAAAAACAACACTTGGTAGATAAAATGGGTGATATGAATATATGACAAATCTGGGGAGAGGTGTACATGAATAACTGAAATTTGCAAAACACAGTGCTCAGAAAAGAGTCCAGAGGGAGAGAATTTTTTGTAGAGCTGTTGACTGTTGCACCCTATGTCTTGATTTGCAGATAACAGAATTTACATGGGAGTCTTGATTTGCAGATAACAGAATTTACATGGGCTGGTTGGAAAAGAGGGGATTTGTGTCAAGGTGGTAGGCAGCTTACAGAATTGTGGAGTGGGCTGGAGAAATGGATCCTAAGCCATAGGTCTGATCTGACCTGATAAGAAAACTGCTTCTACCGCCACTGCCACCAGACACTAAATGCCAGGACTTAGACTTGTCTGCAACAGCAACTGCTCATGGTCCTGAAGCTACTTCTACATCAAGAAAGTGATCTTTGGGACTTCCTGGTGGCCCAGTGGTTAAGAATCTGACTTCCAGTGCAGGGGACTTGAGTTCAGTCCCTGGTTGGGGAACTAAGATCCTACATGCCGCAGGGCAACTGGGCCCATGTGCTACAACTACTGAGCCAGTGGAGTGCTCTGGAACCTGTAAGCCACAACAAGGATCCCACGTGCCACAACTAAGACCCGACACAGCCATAAATGAATAAATACTTTAAAAAGAAGAAGGAGACACCGAGGAGACAGACCACCTTCTGACTCTGGGAGTTGTTGTTCAGGATGGGAAGCCTGGAACTACCATGCCCATGATGCTCCCCATCCATGGTGAAGCCAAAATCCAGAAGTGGGCAAAGGGAAGAGGATCTTAGAAGCCTGGACTCTACATAGTGTGAGATGCCAAGTGTCTTTATTGTTTAAGCCAGATGGTGTCAGAGTTGTCTGTTACTTGCAACCAAATATACCCTAACAGATAAGTCTGCCTTACAGCACTTGGATGTATTTCTTGGTGTCACTTGTCTGAGACTAAGTGACTTGAGTAGGGTGAGAACTGGGCTTCTTTTATTTCCATATACTCTGTGCCTGGCCACAGCAGGCCTGTGTGAATGTCTGCAGTTGACCTGTTCATGAGCCTTCCAAATTGAAGGGTGCTATGAACCTAACATATCCCAAACAGGACACTCTGTTTCTCCCACACTCTCCTTACACATCTGAATAAATGGCACCACCTTTGTCCTTTCCACCCATCCCCACATCTATCCATTACCCAGTCCCACTGGCTCTCTCTCCAAAATAAATCTCAATGTGACCGCTTCTCTCTCTCCACTGTCAACACTGTGGTTCAAACTGGGATCATCTCTTGCCTAAGTTACCTCATGACCTCTCCAGTGGGTCCTCCAACTTCTGTCCTTATTCCCAATATCTGTCAAATCCATCTTCCACACAACCAGATCAGTCTTTAAAATGTGAATCGGAAATGAATCCTCCCTCAATGACTCCTTAGTACACATGGAATAAAATCCAGCCTCCGACTTTAAATGGATGAATTGTATGGCACGTAATTTATATCTCAGTAAACCTATTATTAAAAAAAAAAAAAAATCCGATGTCCTCCCTGTGGCCTGTGATCTGGCATGGGCATGATCTAGCCCCTGCCCACCTCTCTGATCCCCATCTGGTACTTTCCTCTCACTCTCTCCAGCCACACTGGGCATCCTTCTGTTCCACAAACACCCCACGATTGCTTTTACCTCAGGGTCTTTGCAGATGTGCTTCTGTCTTCCTGGAATGTTCTTCCCTGGAGCTTTCCCCATGGCTTGTTCCTTCTCATCCTCCAACCTCACATGTCACCTCTTCAGACACCCTCTTACCAATAGCCTGCTTATTTTCTTCAGAGCACCTAAATATCCAAAATTATCTTAGTAGTTTGCTTGTTTGTTGGGTTTTGTTTTTTGTTATTTTTTTCTCTCTCACCAGCTCATGACACTAAGAGCTTATTTTTCATTTTAGGAATAGTGCCTAACACTTAGGGCAAGAAACATTTGTTGAAGGAAGAATTTGCTGAATCCTTTCAGTTGATCATTCAGTGAAGCATTGTGTTGGGCTTAAGTTTTCCAGTGTTTTTCAGTGGAAAGCAAATTTTGTATTCACATTCATCTAAAAAATACAAGTGAGTCACTGTAACTTCGGGGGCCTCTGCTTTATAAAATGGGGGTGAGTGAAGAGGTTAAACTTTATGACCTGTAAGGATTTTTTGTAGCTGTAACTTCTAAAGGGAGGTGGGGTCTGCTGTAATTGAAATGGGTTCTGGGCTGACCTATAACTTAGTGGCAAATTGGGGACTAGGACTTAGAGCCTTGTCCTTGGTACCACTCAACAGACTTATTGGAAGCTCAGGGGCATCCTTCACTCTCTTCACCACCAGCCAGCCTGGCAGTGTCTCCTCAGAAATCCCTCTGGATATTCTCCTTGGGATTAACCCTGCTGCACTGCCTTGGCCAGGTCAGAATCTCCCCCCTCCTGGACCACCGCAGCCATCTCCTCTCTATGTCGTCTCAACGCTCCCCTACTGGCCCTGAATATCCTTCCAAACACAGAACTCCGATCACACTCATATCACTCAGATGTGACTGGAGACATTCCAGTTGGAAACACTCTGTGAAGGCCACACAAAAGCTACTAAATAAAAGGCACTTGAGAGGCCACCTAGGTGCATTGGCCTTGCATAGCTTCCTAGAGGCGGCTATACTTTGGAGCCTGAAACCAGAGGGAGGAAGACTGGCAGAACTGGGGGAAATTGCGTGTGTAATATCAGAGAAAAACCTAAGTGAAGGTGGAGTATGTTAGCTGTCAGAATGTTCTGATTAAGCAAAGCATGATTTGCTTGGAGGGGCAGGAAGTTCTGGCCAAAACACCAAGGCTGAATTTGACATCTCAGAAAAATGAGACATCTTCATCTCTTGGGGTGGGAGAGGGTCCAGATGACCTCCAGAAGAAGCCCATAAGCAACCACTTCCCCCTCAGTGAGAGACTCTGGTTTTCCTTTGAAGAACCACCCTCTGCTGTGCTCAGCCCATGAAGTTTGATTGCAGCTCAGCCCATTCCAGACTCAGATGATTGATCTGTCCATGATCCAGTGTTTACCAATCCACCTAATCTATCCTTCACAGTCACAATTGTCCATTCAGGATTAGTATTGTGTTTCAACCCCCAGTGGTGACCCGAAATTCAGTTCTGGCACTTACTGCCCAGAGTTAGCACAAGGTAAGGGCTCACTCCACAAGACTGCCCCCACTTCAGATGCCAGCTGCAAGTGGGGTCCCCTGGCCTTCTATCCTTCATGCCAAGTGCCTACGGATCCGGGAGTGTCCATGAGCCCCCTAAGGTTTGATAGTTTGCTAGAACAATTCATAGAATACAGGAAAGCACTATACTTACATTTTAGTACAATTACATTTTATAATTAAAGATATGTCAGGAACAGCTAAATGAAGAGCTGCATAGGGAGAAGTCCTGGAGGGTCCACATAGACCTGGGGCATATCACTCTCCCCACACATCAGTGTATTCACCAAGAAGCCCCACTGAGCTTCAGTGTCTAAAGTGTTTATTAGGGGTTTCATCGCTTGGGCATGGTGGAGTAAATCACTGCCGTGTGACTGAACTCAGTCAAGTCCCCTTCCCTCCCTGGAGATCAAACTGGCTCAAAATCCCAACTGTCTAATCATAAAGTTGGGGCTTCTGCTGATAAGCCCCCATCTTGAAGCTATGTAGAGGCTTGCCGTTAGTCATTTCATCAGCAAAGACTGAGGTGTGATCGAAGGGGCTTACAAGTAACAGACACGCCTGTCACTCAGGAAATTCCAAGAATTTTAAAAGCTCTGTGCTAGGAAACTGCAACAAAGACCAGACAAATTCTTTATTATACAAAAGATGGGTACTGGGTGACCCAAGCTGAGCTGATGAGATGCAGCCCTACTGCACTTGAGCTAGAATTATTGGAAAAGCTATGATCTATCTATGCTGGGATCATGAAGTGAGTAGAATGTAAGCTTGGAACTCTGGTGGCCATCTTGCTCCCTAGAAGGGGACAGTCTGCTTGAGAAGGAAGATAACCTAGAGGAAAGCAGAGCTAAGAGACAGAGCAAGTTCACATGGACCCTGTTTGAGGCTCTGGCTCCTGCCATACCTCATGTCATTCTATCTCTGATATATATATATATATATATATATATTTGGCCATGCCACAGGGGGTCTTTCATGCCACATAAGGTCTTCCTAGACCAGGGATGGAACCGTGCCCCCTGCAGTGGAAGCACAGAGTCTTAACCGCTGGACTGCCAGGCAAGTCCAAACCTCTTCCTTTTTAATTCTGTGAACCAACAAACTCCCCCTCTTTTAGGACCTTAAATGGAGTAGGGGAGGTGGTGGTCCTATTACTTGTAGCTGAAAGCATCCTGAATATTACATCCCCTGTTCCTAAGAAGGAAGAAGTGTTTTGCTTTTCACATTAACAGCTTGCTTAACCTGGGCTCTGGACCCATCCTTCCCCTGGGATGGTAATTAAAACTTCACTCCTTCAATTACCATTCCTTCTACTGTCTCCTTTCTCCTATGACTTCAAACATAAAATCCGGCTTCCCTCAGGATATAAACAAACAAGCAAACCTTTCCATCCTCTACAACCCTCCATCTCTCCTTCCCTTTTTGGCCAAACTGTGTAGGACAACTCTTCACATTCCTACCCCCACTTGTTCACCTTCCATTCATCCCTCAGTCTGCTACCATTGGCTTCTGCTTCTTTCACTTCCCTAAAAATGACTCTCAACAAAGTCACTAAGCAATCTAAGTCAATGTTTTCTATAGGAGACAATAGCAATGCCCAGTCCCATGGACCCCTTATCATTTGTGTATGAAGTGTTTGCCCAAACCACCCCACCCCACCCAATTATGCTCATGCACACACACACATGCTCTATTACCACACCCCCTGCTCTTTGGTGTGTGTTGTTTTTTCAAACAATTAGACCTTCTAGATGTTTTTTCTTTTTCTTGAGAACTGTCCTGTCTTCAGGCTACTGGAAGCTTTGCCTTGATGAAATGCCTGAGAATTGACATCTCCCAGGGAAAGCCCTAGTTAACAGCTGAAGAATGTTGCTACAGGAAAGGCCCAGCTCCCTTGTTTCTGGATAAATTTGAGTCACAACTTACATCCAGAACTTCCCTGAGGAATCAAGCTGAACTACTCTCACATGTTCTCTGAGATCACACATTCTCTTAGTTTCCTCTCCTGCCCCTCCCACTCCTTTACTAGTTTCTCCTGGTAGCACTTAAAAAAAAAAAAAATCATTTGCACACAAATTCTTATCTCTGGGTGTGCTTCTGGAAAACCTGATCCAAAACATCATCCCGGCACTTTCTACTGTTTTTTTTTTTGCCTGCCCGTTAAATGTGGTTTGTTTCCCAAAATTAAGTTCTAGGCCCTCTTCTCTCTACAGGTATTACCAGGACAATCTAATTCATGTCCATGGCTTTAACCACTACTTGTGTCTGATCATGACCACACTGCTGAGACTGTTAGATCTGTCTTTGCTGGACAGCTCCACCTAGTTGTCCTCAGACATCTCTTACATCAATACAGTAAGTCACTAGGCACATGTGACTACTTTAATTAACTAAAAAGAAAACTTCAGTTCCTTAGTCACACTAGCCACATTACAAGTGCTCAAAACCCACATGTTAGTGGCTACCATACTAGGCAGTCCTGATAGACAGCACTTCAGTCACTGCACAGTTTATTGGACAGTTTAGACAATACTTCCAAATCTAGTTCTTCATCACCACCCCCGTTCTGTATTCCTCACCTTGTCTCTCTTCTGGACAACAGTGGGCCAACTACAAAGAATGGGTGTGTGAACCTGTCAGGGAGGAGGGGGGTGATCACAGAACTAGAGTCCTTTCCACTGACATCTTCTGAACTAGAAAGATGGATGGACAAAGATGGTGATGAAGACCTTAACAAAGGCCATCTGGTGAGCTGATGCTAATTCGGTTAGAGCTGGGGGAGAGATGGGGACTAAGACTGGCTAGGCCAAGACTTTGTGTTTCAGGAATAGCAAGTGATCCAAGCCAATCAGCTGAAGTCAGTTCTGGAAATTTTACTGCAAATCTCAGAGGAAAAACATGCCCCTAACAGTTTCTAGGCTATTAGGACTTAAGTTTGGAGCTGTAGAAATCTATTTTGCCACTAAGAGAGGCATGGGGAGAGCTCAGTCTAGAGGTGAACCACTGGTTCCTGATATCTTTTGGCCCTTTTATTCAGCTGTTCCTGAGGAAACTTGATCCATTCTTTTCAATGGCTTGAGTCCAAAGAGTCCCTTATTGCTTAGGCCAGTGGAGCTGGGTCAATGACAGAGCTGAGTGACTAGACTCTCATCGTGCTCATGATTTCAACTGCCCTCTACTACACCTTAATACCGTCTCAATTTATCTGGCCTTGATGTCTCTCCTGAGCTCCAGACTGTGTGTCCACCTGTCTCCTGATGTCCCACAAACACGCCCAAAACTGACCTCATTATTCCTACCGCCCCCACTTCCATTTCCCAAGCTCAGAGATGGAATCTCCTGGAACTTCCAGTACTTTCGTCAAAGAAACCACCAAGGTCGTAAGTTCAGGCTCCGCCTCCTCCTAGGGCCTCACCAAGGTCACCCGCATCTTCCCTCCCCCAGCTCCTTGGGGGCGGTGTCCTCGAACCCCTTAGCGGCCCAGGACGGCGCTCTAGGCTGCGGCGGGCCCTTCAAAAAGCCTTCTCAACTCGCTGGTTTCCGGTACCTGGCTCCTCTAGCCTCCGTCAGGCCCTCGAGACTACTCCCCTAAAGTTCCTTCTCTATGGTTGACAGCGCCCCTTTGTCCCGACTTTCCTCCGGGAGGATGTCCTGGTAGGACCCAACCCCTTCGTATGGCTGCTCCTGCCGACCCTGGTAGGCGCAACTGAAGAAGTCACTGAGCCCTCCGAGACTCTCATACTCTCAGCTCTGAAAGGGCTGCATGGAGTGGGAGGATGGCGGAAGTGAGTGTGAAGGTGCCCTTCCTTCTCCCCGCTCTTCTCTATGGTCGCTTCCTACGGTGACGGGAAAAAGGGGGTCCCGGCGCCTGCGCAGAACCGGGCTGGGAGCTAGTCGCGGAGGGGGGGTGGGGCAGGGAGCGGGAGCTGCCGCCGCCGCCGGAGCTAACCGCGGGGACCGAGATGCAGGTGGGACCGGAACCGGAACCCCCCTCTTCAAGTCCCTCTTCCCTCTGCGCGACCCGGCCCCGGCGTTTGCGAGGAGCCCTGGGTGGGGGCGGGCGTGGGGGCTAGAGGCAGGAGGGGCGCCCGGCCCCGGAGAGTGCAGAAGACAGGGCTGCTTCCCTGGGGGCTGCGGCCCCGGAGAATGGGCGGGTAGAGGGTGTCCGGGGAGGAGGGTCGGGTCGGAGTGGATTGACCACCGGGTCCGGAGGGTCCGAGCCGGGAGCGGAGCCTGCACCCTCCACCACCCGCCCTTCGGGAAATATCAGAACTGAGCCAAGAGGCAGGTGCAGTGGGAAAATGTGTCTGAGTCCCGCTTGGCGAAAGAGAAACTGAGTCACCAGCTGAGGACCCGCAGGGTCAGCGGGCCTGAAGGGGGCTGGGTCTGCCTGTGGTGCAGAGGGTTGGGTGGGCCGGTGTGAGCTGAGGTGGCCTCTGCCTGGAGATTGGGCTCTCTGCTGTGTCTACACCTCTTGGCTCGGTTCCCCCGTGCTCCATGACTCTTTCATCTCCTGGCGTCTTTTCGTTGGTTTGGAATTGCCCCTATGGTTGGAGCCATCTGAGTGTGTAGGGTCTAAGCTGAAGAGAAAGGGGAGGGGGCGCTGACCTGGGTCTGAACAGGAGTCTGGGGTTTGGGGAGATTTGCCTGAACTGCCTTCACCCCCTTCTTGGTGCCAGTCATCTTCGAGTATAACATGGGGGAGGAACACTAACAGAAGAGCCATGGGTTTATAAATTCCCTGCCCAGCTTTGCCACTTGCTAGTTGTAAGACCTTGGAAAGGCTCTTCCTTTTGCTGATTTCTCTTTGAGAAAATCAGAACCCCATAAAGATAGTAATAACGACTGTCATTTGTTGTGTGCTTACTTTGTGTCAAGGCGGGACACGTCCTGTTTAATTCTCCCAACAGTTCTAGGGGTTAGGGATCATTAGTCCTGTTTTATAAATACAAAAACCAAAGTTCATAGAGGACGTGTAATTTGTTCAAGATCACCCAGCTAATAAGTGGCAGTGATGGAATTTCGTCCTAAGTCTAATTCCAGAACCTATGGCCTTAACCACCAAGCTAACCAGCCTTTAGGGCACACTCCTCTGTGAGAGAAGAGGAAGGTGAGAAACCCAAGGCCCCAGCTCCCTGTATTGTTTTACTTTGTGGCCAGCAAAGACTCGCCCAGACCCAGCTCACACTCTGCTGCTGCCTCTGGGCCCCAGACTGGAGGGCCACCCAAGAAGGGGGCTCTGCCCTTCCAAGCCTCCTTCACGCAGTGCTTGGGTACTGGGCCCTGGGGTTGGCTTTCATTGATCTGTCCTTAATGAGCAACCTCCGTCCTCAGTGATGGACCATGGGAGGCAGGGTCTCTTAAGCTCTGCAGGGCTGGCTCCCCTGCGAGCTGGGGCAGTGAGGGGCAGTGACTTGAGACTGGCACAGTCAGTGCCTGGGGACGAGGACTGTGCGGTGGGAAAGGCAGGAGACTTGGAGTTCTGAAACTTTCTGAGCTCCGGGTTCCTCTTCTGTTAACAGAGGTTAAAACCTCTTGCAGGGAAAGGTAAGAACGGCAATTGGAAAGCAGGTGATAAATATCAAAGGATCATTTTAGAGAAGGGAGGGAACATGGAAGAGATTCCTGTTTAGAGGAAGGCGCTGTCCAGCCATTCATCACACCTGGAGCTGAAACCAGGGAATGTGGATTGGGGAGGCAGCAGGAGGAGGGGTGCAGGCTAGACATTGGAGTGGGGGGTGGTTGATCGGCTGGGGCTTGTGGGGTGCACGGACCTGGGGAAGGGCAGGGAGGCAGTGTGGTGTGTGTCCCAGGTGCGCTCTAAGGAGTCTAGACCAGAGGAGGGGGTCTGGCCCCGTCCCACCTCAGCAGTGACTCCATATATGTGCCTCTTCCTTCTGCAGCTGCTGCCGCTCACCCCGTGTCTTCTGGCCGCTTCCCTCTTTGCCGCCCCTCCCCACAGGCTCCCCATCTCCACCTCCTGGGGGCCATCATGAATGATGCCCCTTCCCCGGAGGATGGGGCCTCGCCCTCCCCTCCCTCGTTGCCTCCACCGCCTCCCCCGTGTTGGCGGGAGTTCTGCGAGTCCCACGCCCGGGCAGCCGCCCTGGATTTTGCCTGCCGTTTTCGCCTCTACCTGGCCTCTCACCCCCAGTACGCGGGGCCAGGGGCCGAGGCCGCCTTCTCCCGCCGTTTTGCCGAGCTCTTCCTGCAGCACTTTGAAGCAGAGGTGGCCCGGGCCTCCGGCTTCCTGTCGCCACCCCTCCGGGCTCCTCTGAGTCCTGGTGTGGAGGTCCCGCCACACGACCTGTCCCTTGAGAGCTGCAGGGCGGGCGGGCCCCTGGCTGTGCTGGGCCCTTCTCGCTCATCTGAGGACCTGGCCGGCCCCCTCCCTTCCTCGGTCTCTTCCTCTTCTGCAACCTCCTCGAAGCCGAAGCTCAAGAAGCGCTTCTCCCTCCGTTCAGTGGGTCGCTCGGTCCGTGGTTCGGTCCGCGGCATCCTGCAGTGGCGGGGGACCGTTGACCCGCCCTCTCCAGCGGGGCCCCTGGAGACGGCTTCGGGGCCCCCGGCGTTAGGTGGGAACAGCAACTCCAACTCCTCTGGCGGGGCTGGGACCGTCAGCAGGGGACTGGTCAGCGACGGGACGTCCCCCGGGGACAGATGGACTCACCGTTTCGAGAGGCTGAGACTCAGTCGGGGAGGGGGGGCCTTGAAGGATGGCACAGGCGTGGTGCAGCGGGAAGAGCTGCTGAGTTTCATGGGGGCTGAAGAGGCCGCCCCTGACCCTGCCGGAGTGGGCCGGGGAGGAGGGGCAGTGGGGCCTACCTCAGGGGGCGGGGGGCAGCCTCAGTGGCAGAAGTGTCGCTTGCTGCTTCGAAGTGAAGGAGAAGGAGGAGGAAGTTGGCTGGAGTTCTTTGTACCCCCCAAGGTGAGGCCCAGCGGAGGTGGGGTGGCTGGGAGCAAGGGGTTGAGCAGCCAGGGTGGTGGCTTGGCCCCCATACAGAGCTTTGCTTACTTGTTTTGTTGGCTTTTTTTAAAAATAACTTTTATTTATTTATTTGGCTGTGCTGGGTATTCGTTGCTGCGTGGACTTTCCTCTGGTTGTGGCAGATGGGGGCTATTCTCGTTGTGGTTTGCAGGCTTCTCACTGCAGTGGCTTTTCTCATTGCGGAGCACGCGGCTCTAGAGCGCTCTGGCTTCCGTAGTGTTGGCTTGTGGGCTCTAGAGCACAGACTCAGTAGTTGTGGCGCATGGACTGAGTTGTCCCGCAGCATGTGGGATCCTCCCGGACCAGGGATCGAACCTGTGTCTCCTGCACTGGCAGGTGGATTCTTTACCACTGAGCCACCCGGGAGGGCCTGGGTTTCTTAAAGCTAGCTCCTGACTCTGGGTTAGTCGCCATGGGCAGGACAAAGAGAGCAGTGTTACTTATCTAACTCCCTTTGGGTGTGGAAGGAAGGCCGAATCTCTGGAGGGCGGGGAAGGGTTGTTTCTCCAACACCAACAGTCTGGGTCTTGTTCTCTCTCATGACCTAGGCGTCTCGGCCTCGACTGAGCATTCCCTGCTCCACCATCACCGACGTGCGGACGACCACAGCCCTGGAGATGCCTGACCGGGAGAACACCTTTGTGGTTAAGGTAGGAGGCCTGGGCTCCTTGCCTTCTCGGAGCACTCATGTTAGAGAGAAAGCTCTTTTCGGACATTGAAGCAAGGGATACACGTGCAAGGTGGGGCACAGATGCCAGGTGCCTTGAGAATGTGTCCCCAGGGCGGCGGCTTTTCTGGGAGGAGGGGTGAGCAGGAGGATGTCCTTGCTGCCGTTAGGGGTGCATTAAGGCCTCGAGACCTGGAAGTGGCCTGTGGGCCTCCTCTCTTCCCCATAGGTGGAAGGCCCCTTGGAGTACATCCTGGAGACAGCCGATGCGCTACATGTGAAGGCCTGGGTGTCTGACATCCAAGAATGCCTGAGTCCGGGGTGAGGAGCCCGACTTCTACCACTGAGGGGCCCAGGGGTGGGGGTGGGGAGCAGCTGTCTGCCTCTCCGCCATGACTTGTCCTCCCAGCACCATTTTCCCTGTCTCTGCAGACCTTACCCTGCTACCAGTCCACGCCCCATGACCCTCCCCCTGGCCCCTGGGACCTCCTTCCTGACACGGGAGAACACAGACAGCCTGGAGCCGCCCTGCCTGAACCACTCGGAGAGTCTACCCAGCCAGGGCCTGCTGCTGGGGCCCAGTGAGAGCAGCAACCGCCTTTCGCAGGGTAAGGGTGGGGCCTTAGAGAGCTGAGGACCCTGGGACCTGTTATATAAGCCCCCCGGCCGGCAGGCCGGGCCCTAGCCCTCTCTCCAGGTTCCGCTGTGCACCTCAGCTGCCACCCACCAAACATGTGACTTTTGTCCCTGAACAGGCCCAGCCACGGTTTACGAGTTAGAACTGTCGTCATCACCGCCCCGACCCAAGCCCCAAGCCAGCCCTTCTCCAGCCTTCTATCCCCGCCCCGTCACCCTTTCCATAAGCCTTGTGCTGGCCACCACTCTAGCTGGAGATAATGATTCTCTTCTCCAGGCTCGCAGAACACTGTGCACGTCTTTGTTGTATTCTTACTCTGCATCTCCATACATATGTTGATGGTACTAGGATTTCTTTTGAGTCCCAACTTTTAAACACATACATACGCTGCCCGCACACATAAACACAAAAAGATGTATCTACCTGGCCCCAGCTCACCTTTCTAGACTCCACTACACTCTTCTGATCCTCCATTCTGAGCTTCAGTTTCACTGTGCCTTGCACACAGCCTGTGTGCAGTGAGTAAACAAGTGGATTAAAGAATCTAGGGGCCAGAATGGACCTTACCGGGTCATCAATTCTGATCTCCTCATTTCTCAAGCAGCTAAGAGCAGAAAGGAGAAATGGCTTTTCTGAGGTCATCTGAGGATCACGGACACAGGCTCTGCCAGCTTATTGCTGAGCCACAGCGCCCTGCACCCCGCATATTCCTGTCCTCTGAGCACTAATATGTACGACACGCCTATAGGCTCCTGCCTGCTGCTCAGCAGACACTCAGCAACTCCGAGTACATCCTCGACCCTGTGCTCGGCTCTGGGCGGGATGAGGAGCTCGGAGCTGCCCTGTGGGCCCACGGTCTAGCTGAGTTGACATCACTCCTTCTCAAAAGGTGGGCTCCCACCTGGTGAGCCTGAGCAGCACCAGCAGGAGGCCTTGGCAACTCAAGAGGAAGAGAATCAGGGGAGGTGGGACAGATGGGGAATCCCGCACAGGGGAGGAGAAGAGAGTGTGGCTTGGAGAAAGGAGACGGCGAGAGCAGAGACCTGAGGCGAGGAGAGCCTGGACATTGAGAAAGTTAGGGGGATAATTGGGCTAAGTCAGAGGACACAGGAATACAGGTCTTAACAGGAATACATCTTAACGTGAAGATCAGGTTGGTTAGATTGAGAGAATTCACAGAAGGAGAATCTTTGACGCCCTTGAGAGTTGAGGGCTTTGTGCTATAGGCAAAGAAAGTACCTATTTTTAATGTGAAAGTATTTGAGGGCTTCTGCCCCCCCCAATTCTGCAACTATAGAGTTGCTGTAATTTCAACTGTTGATTCAGAAGAGATGTGGGCACATTGGGATTCTAAGACCTTGTTGGAATCATTGCAGCCCTTTCAAGCAGTCTGTGAAGCATAAGTTCGGAGCCACCGATGAAAGCCATCAGGCTCAGTGGCTGAAGAAGGAGCCAGCATTTCGGCCAGCCGACGTCAGTGCCCACAGGGTAGCCTGGCTGCTGGGGAAGTAGGTCTGGCAGACCAGTCCTCCTAAAAAGAAGCTTCAAGTCCTCAGTTTTGCTCTCCCCTTTTTCTTCCAGGGGCCTATGGGGGCCTGTCAGACCGCCCCTCAGCATCCATCTCCCCCAGTTCCGCTTCCATCGCCGCCTCCCATTTTGACTCAATGGAACTACTTCCCCCAGAGTTGCCCCCCCGGATCCCCATTGAAGAGGGACCCCCAGCAGGGACCGTTCATCCCCTCGCAGCCCCTTACCCACCCCTGGACACTCCAGAAACAGCCACAGGTACCAGAGGTGTGAGTGTGTGTGCTTCCAGGCCTGGTGCCCACCTGCCTTGTCTTGGGATCTCGGGTCCAACAGGGGGTTCTCGGGAGCGACCCATGAGGGAAAAGTAAGGCTTTTCTTCTCCTTGGGATTGGGATGGCTTCCCTGACACCCAGTTTCCTTCCCTCTCTCTTTCCTGAAGGGTCCTTACTGTTCCAAGGAGAGCCAGAGGGAGGCGAGGGGGACCAGCCCCTCTCAGGGTATCCTTGGTTCCACGGGATGCTCTCTCGACTCAAGGCTGCCCAGCTAGTGCTGGCTGGAGGCACTGGCTCCCACGGGGTTTTCCTGGTACGTCAGAGTGAGACGAGGCGGGGTGAATATGTCCTCACTTTCAACTTCCAGGGCAAGGCCAAGGTAAGTGCCTGAGGAGGAGGCTCCATTGCAGGCAGTGGGCCTGCGGGTCGAGTGGGGGAATGCTGCCGTCGCGGGGGGGGGGGGGGGGTGTTCTATGACTGGTAGGGCTCAGGCTCCCGTTTTATCCCACTCTTCCTGCCCTCAGCACCTGCGTCTGTCACTGAATGAGGAAGGTCAGTGCCGGGTCCAGCACCTGTGGTTCCAGTCCATCTTTGATATGCTCGAGCATTTCCGGATGCACCCCATCCCCCTGGAGTCTGGAGGCTCCAGTGACGTTGTCCTTGTCAGCTATGTCGTGTCCTCCCAGCGACAGCAGGGTGAGCAGAGCAGGTCTGCAGGGGAGGAGGTGCCCGTGCACCCAAGAAGTGAGGAGGTGTGTGTGCCAGCAAGACGGGGTGGGGGGCCCAAGGAGGAGAGTGGGGGCAGAGGAGGTGCCTGTGTGTTGGGTCTCTCGGGGGAAAGGAGCCCATGGGGACGTAGGAAGGCAGCGGGCTCCGTGCTGGAGCCGGGAGGAAGTGGAGAGCTGGGTTTCGTGCATTCCCATTCCATCGGCCCGTCTGTTCCATCGTCTGTCTGTCTCCTAGACGCGTCCTCCCTGGCCTTGTCTTTGCCCTCCATCACAGCCTCGCCTTGGGCCTGCCCTTCTTGGGGGTGCTCGGTCTGATCCCCCTCCCTCCTCCCTTGATGTCTGATGTCCCTGTCTGATCTCTCCCTTTTCCCCACCCCCAATGTCCCATCTGTCCCCACGTTGCCCCTCCCCTACCCTCCCCAGGCCGGGAGCAGGCCGGGAGCCATGCAGGGGTGTGCGAGGGAGATCGATGCTACCCCGATGCCTCCTCCACCCTCATGCCCTTCGGAGCGAGTGACTGTGTGTAAGTGTGGTCCTCCTCTCACCACCGCCCATGATCCATCTTCCATGGATGGGGGGATTGCTCAGGAGACGGGATCTGGGGGAGATAGCACATGGCTCCGGGGAGGGGATGAGCGAATGGGAGGCTGCTCCAAGAGCTTGCCTCCCTCCACCATCAGTCTGTCTTCTTACCATTCCTATCCAGAACCGAGCACCTCCCATGACCCACCCCAGCCCCCTGAACCCCCTTCATGGACAGATCCCCCACATCCTGGGGCAGAAGAGGCGTCGGGGGCGCCAGAAGTGGAGGCAGCAGCAGCCGCAGCAGCCAAAGAGAGGCAAGAGAAAGAGAAAGCGGGCAGTGGAGGGATCCAGGAAGAGCTGGTCCCCGTGGTTGAGCTGGTCCCCGTGGTTGAATTGGAAGAGGCCGTAGCCCCAGGCACGGAGGCCCAGGGAGTCGCTGAATCTGCTGGGGCCCCTGGGGCGACCCTGATGGTGCAGCTCCAGCAGTTACCACTAGGGGGCGACGGAGAAGAAGGGGGCCATCCCAGAGCCATAAATAACCAGTACTCCTTTGTGTGAGACGCCCTACCCCACCCTCTCTCCTCTTGCTCCCCAGCCCTCCGTTGGTGAGATCCGGGCTGTGTCGCGACATAGAGGAGCGGTGGGAATCCCCTCCCCACATGCTTCCTGACCCTTGACGGCCAAGGGCATGTTTGTTGGTACAAAAAGGTTCAAGAGCCCTAACTCCCCAGTTCGTACACTACCGGTGCCCCGTCCCCTGGGCAGGGGACTCAGGCGCCATTACCCCCGAAGGGGCTCTTACGGTCAGCCCCATCCCTGGGGGCCATTTCCCCATTAACCACCCCTCAGCCCAAGGAAGGGTGAGGGGGAAGGGCTGTCAGTTATGTTAAGGTGGTTGTTCTTGTTGTTTTAAACAAAATGGAGAAGCATAAATAAATAAAAGGGTTTATCTCAGTTCCAGTGTGACGGCTGTGGCCAGTGTTTGCAGTGCGGGGCTGGAACAGGCGGGTCAGGAAGGTAGCCCACTCAGTGTTGCCAAATTCAGAGCTCAGAGGCCAGAGGCCTGGGTCAGCTTGAGTCCCTGTTGCTCCCAGACCTGAGCTTTTGGCCCATTGCTCCCCAGGGGACTGTCCTGTTTCTTGAGGGTTAAGTGCAGAGCCAAATGGTGCTTCTTGGGGTCTCCAGCCAAGTTTGCTTAATGGGACAGGACCGTGAACAGCAGGATTGATGATCTCCAATCAGTTCAGACCTTTCTGCTCTGAATTCTTCAGTTGAGGCTTCCTACCCTGGGGAGAAAGCAGGCTGGGAGAGACTGTGAGGGGCTGGGCAAGGGGCACGATGGCTGTGTTGGGAGAGGTTGAACGTGGCCACCACAGCCTAGCTGCAGAGGGGCCCAGGGGCAGGCTGACCCGTCCCCCTTCTCAGAGCCCAGCTGGAAAGCTGAAGCCTGGATGATAAAAGAGTGCTGGTTCCACTCTTGCCTTTGCTTCTCATTTGCGGTGTGTCCTGGGCAAGGTGTAACCTCTCCAGACCTCAGTAGCCCCATCTGTAAAATGGGAAGGTTCATCTAGGTTGAAGCCACTGACATGGTTTACTTGGTCTGGATGGTGTTTCCATTGGAACTTCACATGGAAGTTCAGATCACTGGTTCTTCCCAAAAGTCAGAAGATCCAGCCTCACCTGGTACCTGCCTTCCACATCTACTCCATGCCCACCGGCCCACTTTACTCACAGGAGGCACATGGCTGAGTCTGTGAGCGTTTGAATTTGCGACGTCTCCCTCTGCTCACTGTACCCCTCCCCCCACAGCACCCAGTCTCTGCTCTCTGGTCTCTGGACTGAATTGCGGCTGTGCCCTCCTCCGACTGAGGGCACCCCGGGCTTCCCAGCTCTGCAGGTGCCAACAAGGAGGAGCCAGGTTCTGAAGAATCCCACCTGTTCTGTTGGCCCTCTCCCTCCCCCACCTCCATCCGACTGGACCCCTTCCCATTCTGCCTCCCACTTCCCCTCCCTCCCGGGCAGTGTGGAGGCTCCATGCTCACGCCCCTCAGCCTCTGCCCCCACCTCCAGGAGGCCCTACCCATGCTCATGACCTTGCTATTCTGGGCCTTGCGTCCTGTTGGGAGATGGACAGGAGACAGCTGGGCTCACGGGCCACCCAGCCTGGGGGCTCGCCGGGGGAAGCTCTTCTGGTTTGGTCTCATCCCTGGGGCTCCCCCAAACTTGGGCCTCTGGAGCCTGGGGATAGAATTGGCCTTGCAGAGGGAGGGGGATGGATTGGGGATCTGGATGCTGTGTTCTCAGAGTGAGGTGGCGAGAGATGGCTGTGGCGCCCCAGGGTAAGCAGGAGCTCATCCTCTCCTAATCTAGCAGCAACTGGTGCTGCGAGGCTCCCCCTCCCCCCACCCCACCCCCCAAACCCTGCCAGCCTTCGGGGCCTTGCTTTTTGAAGGGGGGTGGGCGAAGGGTACCAGGACCCCTGAGCTCCCTCTCCCCCACCCCTCCCAAGATGTGCAAGTCTTGGCTGGAGGAGCCTGGGAAACTGTTTCCCTCTAAGCCTGTCTACGGATGTTTCGGCCGAAGTTCCGAACTGATGGGGAATGGCCAGGCTGTGCCTCAGTGGTCCCTCAGAAGTCCACCGCTCCCGTTCGCAGCCCCAGCCCTCAGGATGGGATGAATACCTTCCAACTCTGGGCCTGGAGACCCTGGCGTAGTGGTGTGTGTGTGAGGGTGGTGCTCCAAGAGATGCGCCTCCATCCCAGTTCACACCCAGCCTCCCTGACCGTGATCCTTTTGCAGCTCTTGGCTGGTGGCTTTCCCTTCCTGGCTGCCGTTTCCCCTCTGAGAAGTTGGGGGAGGCAGAAGTGAATAACCTTAAAGGGCCTCGTTGGCAGCGGTGCCCTGTAAAGCCTGCGTCCTCCCCTCAGCCTCATGTTCTGAGTCCCTTGAAGCCGCGATCTGTCCAGTCTTCTCCCCCTTCTCCATGTTTGGGCATTCCTGCTCCTTTAAGACAGTGGCCCTGTCACTCCTCCAGGGGGTGGCAGGGTCAGGCCAGCCAGCTCCGAAAGGCTTGATACTGGCCTAAGAAGGTGGGTGCTTGGCCAGGTGGAGGCGCCTGGTGATGTGACCCCCAGCACGCATACCCCCTTGTCTGAGCCCCCCAAACTCCCTCAGGTCACCACAGGAGTCTGCTTCCGGGAGGGATTTATTGGACCCATGAAAAGGGGGAGGCAAGGAGCACTGTGTCCTTAAGTCACCCGAGGTCACCCTCCCCCCAAGTGCAGGCAGAAGAAAGGATGAGCATGGGCGGGGGGCTAAATCCTGCAGTGCCATCCACCCCTGCTGGCCTACCCACCCCCCAAAAGTGGGGGGTCCCCTTTCCTTTGCCCCACTGTCTCCTATACCACTGTCTGCTTGGGAACTTGGGCGCCAGACAGGGAAGCACCCGTGAGAACACTTGCAGCGGTCCATGTGCCTCACTGTGCACTTAGGAAACTGGGCCCCAGACAGAAGGACTTGAGGCCAGGGCTGCTTCCACGAGGCTCCTGCTTCACCTCACTGACCTCGCACCATTCTCTCACGGAACCTGCCTCCTCTCTGCCCCCGTTTTCTCCCCTGCCCACGCCCCACGCCCCACGCCACCCTCTGTCTGCTCCTCCCGCCGCTGCCCTAGTGGTGACCAACAGACGCCCCTATCCCAGAGCAGGGGTGGGGGCAGGGGGTTCGGAGCAGCTGCTGCTCCGAGGAAGCTGACACCGAAGCCAGCCGCTCAGCAGCAACTTGTGGCTTTGCACCCAGCTCTGGGCCCCCACCCACCTGGCTGCCGCCTGCCAGCTCCCTGCTGCTGCCGTTTTCCCCACTGCTCCTCAGACTTCCCTCTGACCCCGGCAGCCTTGTCTCTAGTCCCCCAGCTCCGTCTGTCCTTATTTCCCCTGGACCTGTCCCCATCAATCTGCCCGTGTCCATTCCTTGCGTCTGGAGCCTCTGCTTCCCTGGCCCCTGCCTTTGATGCCCCTTCCCTCGCGCCTCTGCCCACAGGGTGTGCCCAGCGCCTGAGCACACAGCTCCATCTTCACTCCCCTTGAGCACGGCTCCTTCAGGGCCAGGGTGGAGCACAGACCACACACCATCCAGGGCCTGCCATGTCAACCCTGTGGATTGAAGAGAGCACAGTGTGGGACGAGGTGACCCTCATTGCATGACTTGGGGTGACCCCTGCACCCATTCTGAAACTTTGATCCCTCTCTGTCTACCATCAGCACATTCTGTAGGCTCTTGGGTTTCCCGGCTGCCTGGGTATCCCATTTTCTTGGGAGGGGGGATTCCCTCTCAAGGGTGGGGGGGCCCTGAAGGCTCTGTTCCCAGAGGCTGAGTTAGAGCCATGTGGGGGGGTGGTAGGGAGAGACGAGCAGTCCTGGCTCTGCTCAGCGGGGCCTGGACACTAAATCCCTTGTTGATAGCTGCAGCAACCCCTCCCTAGGGTAGGGTTACCGTCTTCTGCCCTGTCCCCTTGACCCTCTCCCCTCCCTGCTTCCCCTTGTCCCTCTAGAGCCACTTCCTCTTGCCCCCAAAGGATGTTCTCCCCCTTTTCAGCCCCTGTGAGGGTTGGGTATCTCTGCTGCCATTTCAACAAACTCAGGAAGGAAGGATGAGACTGCAGCAGTAGAAGCAGGTTCAGGAGGGATGAGATGGGAAGGGGGTTTGAGGAAAGGGAATAGAGAGAAGTGGGCTGAAGGGAAGAACTGGAAGAGATGACTGTGGAATAAGAAATGCAGTGCAGCTGAAGATATCGGGGCAATTGGGGAAGGGCTCAGCAGCAGAAGACAGAAAATGAGGTCTCTCTCCCTACCCCCCTTTCCCCGGGGCTGGGGCCACCTTAGCTTCCCTCATGAGTGACATCTCAGGCTGCAGCCCCACTGTTCCCCCTCGTCAGCAGAAATATCTCTCTCTTCTGACCCCTCCTGCTAGAGTCCCGGCCAGCCAATCCCTGGTCTGAGGGAGGGGGGAGCCTGGCCCCCCCTACTCCCTCATAAGGACCAGCTGGGGGCTGGGGGGGTGGCCGGCTGCTGCAAGTGGAACGGGGGTCAGAGCTTCGTGGAGGGAAGAATAACCTGGGGGGGGGAAGGAAAGAAAGAGGAAGAAACCCAGACAAACAGGCAGGTGGATACACTGAGGAAGGCCCCCGACGTGTGAGAACCCCCCCAGAAGGAACACACTGCCCCCTGGCCCCCAGGAAGGGAGCACCATGGAGGCTGCGCACTCCAAGACCACAGAAGAATGTTTGGCCTATTTTGGGGTGAGCGAAACTACAGGCCTCACCCCGGACCAAGTTAAGCGGCATCTGGAGAAATATGGCCATAATGGTAAGTGTTCCCTGGAGGAAAAGGCTGGTAACGCCCTCCTGCATCCCCACAACATACACACACACACACACACACACACACACACACACTCACACACACACACACACAC